ATTCTGAATGTACTGATCAAAACTAAGAAGAAGTGGGAGAGTTAAAACACTCACAGAAAAGGGAAAAGAAATGCAAAAAGAAAGGATCAAAGGACTCCAGCAAAGGTTTAACTATAATTATGAAAAATGGAGAGCACGTGCCAAATCATCTAAACTACCTCTCTCTCAATCAGATCCTTTAAGTAATGACATACTTGAAGATATTATAGGTGATGTTAGGGGTCTTTGTGCAGACGTCACAAAGGTTTATGAAGAGTTACGCAAGCTCACCCCACCAGATCAAGAGACACGTCGTAGAGTAGATCTATGTGTGGAGATCTCAGGTTTCCTTGTGAAAAGAGCAACCAACAGACTGGATGGAAAAGAGGAAGAAGAAGAAGATTGGCCAGAATCAGGTTCCCTCTTTCAAACCATAAGTAGTAAGTCAGGCTCTTTTAACACAAATAAGAAATCTTCTGAACACTCAAACAGATCCTCTACAAAGCATCAAGAAGCTGCAGCAGAAGCAGCAGCAAGTCAGGCTGTTCTCAAAGTGTTACGAGAACAAGAAATTGAACAGCAAGAGATTGAAAGGCTTGAAGTTGAAGTCAGGAAAAAGGCAGTAGAGCAAGAAGCATTGTTTAGACAAAGATGCTTGGAAAGAGAGGCAGAAGAAATCAGGTTAAGAATGCAGAGAGAAGCAGATGAAGCTAAGTTCAAGGCTCAACAAGAAGAAGAATATGCAGCTCTGCAGAGAACGCTTGATGAAAAGAAAAGAAAGGTACAGCTCCTGGAAAGGGTAATGGATCTTAAGGCAGCAGAAGCAAGGATGCAGGTTTATGACCAAATAAGTATAACAGATGAATGCAAAGTTGATGCTACAAATTTTAATAGGAAAGGTGAAGATGTTGAACATGTAAGGTTCCCATCTCAGCTTAAACAAGTCTTACCCCAAGCTGCAGCCACCTCAGTAAGTGATGGTACATCAGACCTTGTTAAAGCGCTGGCAAGTGCACTAAGTGCTAGTCGTATCCCTGTTCCTGAACCGGCTGTGTTTTCTGGGGATCCCTTAAGCTACAGTGACTGGAAACTGTCATTTCAAACACTGGTAGATCAAAAGAACATCCCAGACACTGAGAAAATATTCTACCTTCGGAGATACTGTATGTGACTGGAAAAGCTAAAAGAGCAGTTGAAGGATACTTCCTGCTTGGAACAGAATCTGCATACGCTGCTGCATGGAAAGTTCTGGATGAAAGATACGGAAATCCGTTCACAATTGCAACAGCTTATAGAAACAAACTGCATGCGTGGCCCAAGATTACTTCAAGGGACAGTTTTGCACTAAGAGATTTTGCAGATTTCTTGCGCAGTTGTGAGACTGCAACAGCTCACATCAAGTCATTAGAAATCCTGAATGACTGCAATGAGAACAGGAAGATTCTGTCTAAGCTTCCAGACTGGCTTGCTGCTAGTTGGAACCGAAAGGTTATTGAAATCAAGGAACAAACACATCAGTTTCCCACTTTCAGCCAGTTTGTTGACTTTTTAACCAGAGAAGCCAAGATTGCTTGCAATCCTGTTACATCATTGCAGTCACTAAAACAGTGTGAGCCTAACATATCAGACAAACCGAAACTCACAAACCAGCGACAACTAGGAGCTAAGACACTGACAACAACTTCACAAGAAAAGATACAGCTAACATGTGTATTCTGTAAGAAACCCAAGCACAGTTTGCACAAATGCAGAAGTTTTCTGGGCAAAGCTGTGCCAGACAGAGTCAACTTCATTAAATCAGAAAAGCTTTGTTTTGGTTGTCTCAAACCAGGTCACCATTCAAAGAACTGTACCAACCGCAATGTTTGTGAAAAGTGCAGTAAAAGACATCCTACCTGTCTTCATGAAGACAGAGTTAAAGACAAAGAAGAACAAAGACAAGCACCAAATAAGCCAGAGTCAAATAATGAAAGATCAAGACAAAGCGACCAAGCTCAAGAGCAAGTTACAGCCACAGCTATGACTAACCAAGTAACGGGTCAAGAAAATAACACACAGACAGCCGCAATCATTCCCGTTTGGCTTTCATCTGCTACTAAACCCCAAGAAGTCCTCGTATATGCGATGCTAGACTCACAGAGTGATACAACTTTTGTTCTCAGTGAAGTTGCAGATTTGCTAGAGACAAACCAAGAACCTGTTAAACTAGAGCTGTCTACTATGTCTTCCCAGACTACAGTTGTTCGATCTCACAGACTTCAGAATCTCCAAATTCGTGGCTTTAACTCAAGCAAAATAATCACTTTACCCCCTACATATACAAGAGAGTTTATTCCAGCCAACAAAGCTCACATCCCAACTAATGAGACAGCCAATGCTTGGCCACATCTTCAACATCTTCAACTAGAAATCGCACCTTTGCAAGACTGTGAGGTAGGATTGTTGATTGGATACAATTGTTCACAAGCTCTCCTCCCAAGAGAGATTGTGTCAGGTAAAGATGATGAGCCGTATGCTCAGCGCACTGATCTTGGTTGGAGTATAGTTGGACAAACCAATCCCTGCTTAAACTATGGAGACGCAATTGGAATCAGTCATCGCATCATTGTTAAGAAGGTCATCCCAGAGCTTGAGTCCTCTCAAAAGCTTCAAAACAAAGTCTATTATGTCAACAGAACAAAGGTGAAAGACGTCACTCCTTCAGACATTATCAAAGCACTCGAAGGAGATTTTTCTGAACGGGCTATTGATAACAACCCTGTGTCGCAAGAAGATTTACAGTTTATCAAAAAGCTTAGTGAGAACATCAAGCAAAACGAAAGCGGCCACTACGAGATGCCATTACCATTTCGTAACCAAAGACCCAAATTACCAGACAATAAAATATGTGCAATGCATCGCCTAAAGTGTCTGGAAAAAAGATTAAAGAAGGACAAATCATACTACAATGACTATGCTAACTTTATGGATGACATAATCTCAAGAGGAGATGCGGAAAGGGTTCCAGACCAGGAGTTGAATAACCATCCTGCATGGTATATGCCACATCATGGGGTCTATCACCCACACAAACCTGGAAAGATCAGAGTAGTGTTTGATGCCTCTGCAAAGTACCAAGACACTTCTCTCAACGACCATCTCCTAACTGGCCCTGACTTGACGAACACATTGGTGGGCGTTCTTTGTCGTTTTCGCAGAAGCTCTATTGCATTCATGTGCGATATAGAGCGAATGTTCCATCAATTTCATGTCTCAAAAGAGGATCAGGACTATTTAAGGTTCCTTTGGTGGGAGAAAGGAAATTTGGAAGCAACACCTTCCGTTTACCGTATGAAGGTCCATCTCTTTGGAGCAGCGTCTTCTCCAGGCTGTGCCAATTTTGGCCTAAAACACCTAGCAGCCCAAGGACATGGCCAATTTAAAGAAAACACCATACATTTCATACAAAGAAATTTTTACGTTGACGACGGCTTGGCAAGCGCTCCAACTGAAAATGAAGCCATTCAACTCATCAAAGACTCAAGAGAGTTATGCTCCAAAGGGAAGTTAAGACTCCACAAATTTGTGTCCAATAGTGAGAGAGTTATGTCCACTATTCCAAAGGAAGAGTGTGCTACAGTTAGGGACCTTGATATGTCTCTCGGTTTACCACACGTTGAAAGAGTACTCGGAGTTGAATGGAGCATCACTTCAGATGCTTTCAAGTTCAGAGTCCAAGCCAAGTCCAACCCGCTTACCAGAAGAGGTGTACTGTCTACCGTTGCCTCTATTTACGATCCGCTGGGTTTTATTGCCCCATTTGTACTCTTAGGCAAGCAAATCCTCCAGCAAATGTGCAAGGATAAAGTCGAGTGGGACCAAGAGCTTCCAGATTACTTAAAACCTCAGTGGGAATCCTGGATTAAAGATCTTCCAAGTTTAGCCAACATGGAGATTCCAAGATGTTTCATCCCTGCAGAGTTTGGCCAGGTTAAAAGCTTCGAACTTCATCACTTCGCAGATGCCAGTGTCAATGGATATGGTGCATGTACTTACCTGTGAATCATTAACAAATCAGATGAAGTCCATTGTTGCTTAGTGATGGCAAAATCAAGAGTCACACCCACTGCTGTCATGACCATCCCTCGACTCGAACTCTCAGCTGCAGTTGTTGCAGTTAGAGTCAGTGATCTACTCAGGGCAGAGCTGGAAATCCCAGACATTACAGAGTTTTTCTGGACAGATTCCACTGTTGTTCTCGGATACATAAATAATGATGCCAAAAGGTTTCAAGTGTTCGTAGCTAATCGCATTCAAAGGATCAAGTCAAGCACAAGGCCAGAACAATGGGCGTACATCCCATCAGAGCAAAACCCTGCAGACTACGCTTCTCGAGGCTTAACTGCAGAACAATTGAAGTACTCCAATTGGTTTAAGGGACCAGCATTTCTCTGGGAGAGGAACATTCCTGCTAGAGATATGAAGGTGGGAGAGGTCAAGGAAAATGACCCAGAACTTCGCAAAGCTTTTGTGTGTACCACCAACGCAAAAGAAGAGCAGACCATTCTCAACAAATTTGAAAAGTTCTCAGAATGGTCCCGATTGATAAGAGCACTTGCAACCCTGAGAAGAAAGGTTAAGGAATGCAAGGGAGACAAACAAAGGACAAAAGAAAGTACAAGTTTGGAAGAGAGAAAAGAAACAGAACTGTTTGTCATCAAACTTGTTCAAGAGAAAGCTTTTGCAGAAGAGATAAAGAGTCTAAAATCAAATAAACCAGTTTCCAAGACCAAAAACCATCATCTTTATAAACTAAGTCCATTTCTGGACGAAGACGGAGTCCTTAGAGTTGGTGGACGTTTGAGTCAAGCTGTGCTGCACTCACATGTAAAGCATCCAGCCATACTTCCCAAGGACAGTCATGTTTCAACTTTGCTCATCAGACATTTCCACTCGAAGGTTCAGCATCAAGGTCGTGGAATGACTCTGAATGAGCTGCGTGCCAACGGTTGGTGGATTCTAGGAAATAGCCTGTGCAGTCTCATCATACATCTTCAACTGTGTCAAATGTCGCAAATACAGAAGGAGGACAGAGACTCAAAGTATGGGAGATTTGCCAGCTGATCGAACTGAGCCTACACCACCTTTCACTTATGTCGGAATGGATTGTTTTGGACCAATATATGTCAAGGACGGCCGTAAGGAGCTCAAAAGATATGGACTGATACTAACTTGCTTATGTTCACGAGCCATTCATATTGAGGTTGTAGATGACCTGAGTACAGACGCATTCCTGAATGCGATACGTGCGTTTATCGCAATAAGAGGGAATGTGCGCCAGCTAAGATGTGACAGAGGCACCAATTTCGTTGGTGCTCAGAGAGAGCTTGCTGATCTCATGAAAGACATGAATCAGGAGAAAGTGAAGGCACTTGGATGTGAGTTTCTTATGAATCCCCCTTCAGCAAGCCATATGGGTGGAGTATGGGAGAGACAGATAAGAACCATCCGTAGTGTTCTTTCAGCCATCCTTGACCAGTCAGCCAAGAGACTTGACAGTACATCTTTGAGAACCCTTTTGTATGAGGTTATGGCGATTATCAACAGTAGACCACTCACCATCGAGCATTTGAGTGATCCAACAGGCCCTGAACCATTAACACCTAACCATATTCTCACGATGAAGTCGACCATTATCCAACCTCCACCAGGAGATTTCATGAAAGAAGATTTGTATCTTCAAAAAAGATGGAGAAGAGTGCAATATTTAGCCAACGAGTTTTGGATCCGTTGGAGGAAAGAATATTTGCTCAACTTGCAACCAAGACAAAAGTGGAATGCACACAGAAGGGATCTTAAGATTAATGATATAGTGCTTCTGCAAGAAGACGCGGCACCACGCAATGAATGGAAGCTGGCCAAAGTCACAGATGTCTATCCTGGAACCGATGACAAAGTGAGAAAGGTTAGACTTTTGGTTAGTGAAAAGACGTATGACAAACACGGTAAACATGTGACTAAAACACTTTCATTAGAACGCCCTGTACATAAGGTTATTGTTTTGCTAGAAGCAGACTAAGGATTTTGTGTTTGTTCATGCTGAGTATTCTGAATGTAAAAAATCCCACATGAGGAATTGTGAGATTGGTGGGAGTGTTGCTGCCACTTTTTCATTTATGCCTGTTTTGTGTGTATTTCATTGCTGTTGTTAATATGCGCCACCAGGGGGTGCATGGAGGGGCTTTGTATGCAGATTAGAGATTAGTTTTCTAAGAAGAAGCGATTTCCAGAGAGAGCTGATGCATGTGTCGGTCACAGGTCGGTCACAAAGTTTAAGTAAAGCAAGAAAGAAGAAAACCAAGAATAATTCCACTCTATTCTGGTACTCAGCCAACGAGGTATTAAGTCTGTTTATTTGTGGCAGTCGTCATATTTGTTAATTGTCTTTATTTTTTGTAAGCTAATTATTGTATTGTTTGTGCCTTTTAGTTTTCACGGTGTGGTTTATGAGTCTGAACAAGCAAGATTCAATAAATCCATCTGTAGAGAAAGCCACTTGTGCCTGTCGTACCTGGGGGAATTACAGCCAGTATGTGACAATAAAATGTGAAACATGATCAAAATCACTAAAATGATCTAAAAGACCCACATTCACATAAAAACACCTAGATATTTAACACACAGAACTGGAATAAATATAAACATCTTTATTTTGTACTTTTGCGTAGCAATCACAGAATTTGAAACAATTAATCAAAGTCGATCAAAATAGTATTTTCTCTGCCTTTCATGAACAGTACATACATTTATGTTGTTTTTAAATGTGCTATTTCAAAACAATGTGCAAATGTGTAAAACTGAAAAAATTCCAATCATTTCTCTTGTTTCTCTCTCATATACAGATTAAAGCTATATTATATAACTTTTCTTAAATAAATCTATATATGTCACCAAGTTGTGAAAATATATTATGAGACAGATAATTTGTTGAAAAAAATAGATTAATCTCCTTCACTTCCTCTCTGAGCTACTACTGACATCTGCAGAAATACAAACCCCACTGAAATACAAAGTGCACAAAAGTCTGACTGACTTTTTTCAGTCCTAAGACCCTGTTGCTGAATCAGATGGTTTGTTTTTGACCAAGCAGTTTATTTCTCTAGTTAGCACTGAGAACATGGAGAAAAGGTGGAAGTGCTCAATATTTTCACAGCTTGTCGGTCTCATAACATACTGTCACAACATAATGACTTAAATATGTAAAAAAAAACAAAAAAACTATATAACTTTTATACCTACCATCTCTGATAGTGAAGCACTGCAGAACTTACATTGCACTGTATGCTTTTTACTCAATGTTGCTTTACAAATATATTCTTTGTGATTTAAATAGCCGAATTTTATAACCGATGATTTGGCCGATATCTTATCCCGTTCTCAGACAACCACTTGTGACTTTCAATCGAAGTGCTGCATCCCGCGTGCCGATGAAACGGGGTGAGCGTGACAGCGATAAAAATTTACCAATTTACCAATGAGACAGGTTATTGCTTGGATTTGAATCCAAGCATCCAATAAAAAGAAGGATCTTAAAGAAACTGATAATATTCTGATAATTAGCGTTATTTCCACAGTTGTGGTCTTGACCGGTCTTGAAATAAAATGCCAAGTCCTCAGCGCCCGAGACCGAGACAAGACCGAGACCAAATGCGGTCAAGTCCGAGACGAGACCGAGACCATCAAAAAATGGTCTTCGAGACCAAGACCGATCTCGAGTACTACAACACTGCATCGGACACAGTTAGTGTTAGCATGTCAGCATTAAAATTTATTTTCTCCATTCTATGATTATCTAAATTAGTGGTGCTCACCCTATTCAATTCAGTTTCAATTCAATTCAGTTTATTTATATAGCGCCAAATTCACAACACATGTCATCTCAAGGCACTTTACAGTTCAACCAGATCATACAGTCAAATTGATACAAAGTTTTCTATCTAAGGAAAACCAGTTGATTGCATCGACTCAAATACAATCCCCCACACTAAGCATGCTTGTAGCGACAGTGGAGAGGAAAAACTCCCTTTTAACAGGAAGAAACCTCCAGCAGAACCAGGCTCAGTGTGAGCGGCCATCTGCCGAGGCCGACTGGGGTTCAAGGAGACAGAAGCAGAGATACAAAAAGCAGCTGTAAAAGGCGGCCCCGTCCAGGAAACACACAGCCAGGCAGACGAGCTCCAAGGCAGCTCCCATGCCAGAGGACGAAGAGAGCACATCCACTCAGTCACGGTCAGAGAAACAGGACCACACTGGAAAACAGGCCGATCTCCAACATCTATTAACAAGGGTGTTGATAGAAGCAGCACAGCTGATGTTTTTTCCAGGATGATGTCACAGCCAAACAGGAACAGACGAGGCAAAGCTACTCTGAGGAAAAGCAGAGAGAGCAGAAGGTTAGAGATTGAACTAACAGATTCTGCAGAATAGGAGAACAGAGAGAGAATGAAGCAGAATGATGAAATGGGGGTCCCTATGTCCTCCAAAAGTCTAAGCCTATAGCAGCATAACTATAGAGATAGCTCAGGATAACCTGAGCCACCCTAACTATAAGCTTTATCAAAAAGGAAAGTTTTAAGCCTAGCCTTAAAAGTAGACAGGGTGTCTGCCTCACGGACTAAAACTGGTAGTTGGTTCCACAGGAGAGGAGCCTGATAACTAAAAGATCTGCCTCCCATTCTACTTTTAGAAATTCTAGGAACCACTAGTAAACCTGCAGATTGAGAGCGAAGTGCTCTGTTAGGAACATAAGGAACAATCAGATCTCTGATATCAGATGGAGCTTGGCCATTTAAGGCTTTATATGTGAGAAGGAGGATTTTAAATTCTATTCTTGATTTAACAGGAAGCCAATGAAGAGAAGCCAGGATAGGCGAGATATGATCTCTCTTTTTAATTTTCATTAGAACTCTGGCTGCAGCGTTTTGGATCAGCTGAAGGCTTTTAACTACAGTTTGTGGACTTCCTGATAGTAAAGAATTACAATAGTCCAGCCTTGAAGTAACAAATGCATGGACTAGTTTCTCAGCATCACCCCTGGACAGGATATTTCTAATTTTTGCAATGTTCCTCAGATGAAAGAAGGAAATTCTAGAAACCTCTTTGATATGGGATTTAAATGACAGGTCCTGATCAAAAATAACACCAAGATTTTTTACTTTATTATCTGAAATCAGTTTAATCCCATCCAAATGAAGTGACTGGCTAATCAGTTTCTTTTTCAGAGACTCTGGTCCAAAGACTATAACTTCTGTTTTGTCTGCATTCAGAAGCAGAAAATTAAGAGTCATCCAGGTTTTTATGTCTTCAAGACATGCCTGTAATCTATGTAATGGGTTAGCTTCATCTGGATTTATAGACAGATATAGCTGGGTATCATCAGCATAACAGTGGAAATTAATCCCATGCTGTCTAATAATTCTACCAATTGGGAGCATGTATAAAGTAAAGAGAATTGGTCCTAGCACTGATCCCTGTGGTACTCCACAGGTAACCTTTGAGCGTGTTGAAGATCTATCATTAACATGAACAAACTGAATTCGATCAGATAGATAAGATTTAAACCAGTCTAGTGCTGTTCCTTTAATTCCAACAAAATATTCAAGTCTTTCTAAAAGAATATTATGGTCAACTGTATCAAATGCAGCACTAAGATCCAACAGGACGAGCACAGATACAAGTCCATTATCTGAGGCCATGAGAATATCATTAGTGACTTTCACCAGAGCTGTTTCAGTGCTATGATGAGCTCTAAAGCCAGACTGAAACTCTTCAAAAAGTTCATTATGGTGGAAGTGATCGCAAACTTGTTTGGCAACTACTTTCTCAAGAATTTTGGATAAGAAAGGAAGATTGGATATAGGTCTATAATTGACCAAGTCATCTGGGTCAAGAGACGGTTTCTTAAGCAGAGGTTTAATTACAGCAATCTTAAAAGCTTTAGGTACATATCCCTGTAACAGAGATAGATTAATCACATCTAAAATGGAGGAGGAGATCAAAGGGAATACCTCCTTAAATAACCTGGTTGGAACTGGATCTAACATACAAGTTGAAGGCTTAGATGAAGACAATAATTTAGCTAATTCAGAGAGTTCAACTGGATCAAAGCAGTCTAAACCCGGTTCAGATTCCATGACTACCTCAGGTACAATCGCGGATAGAGGAGTGCTTATGATCTTATTTTTAATAAGATCAATCTTATTTATAAAGAATCCCATAAAATCATTGCTGCTAAGAGCAGGTGGAATGGACGGTTCAACAGAGCTATGGCTCTGGGTGAGTTTGGCAACTGTATTAAAAAGAAATCTAGGATTATTCTTATTCTCCTCTATTAATGAGGAGAAGTATGCTGCTCTTGCTTTACAAAGGGTCCTCTTATACAGCAGTAAACCATTTTTCCAGACTAGGAAGGACTCTCGCAGGCCTGTGGAGCGATATTTTCTCTCCAGTTTCCTAGCATTTTGCTTCAAAGTACGCAGCTCTGCATTAAACCAAGGAGCAAGCTTTCTATTTTTAACGGTTTTCATTTTCAAAGGAGCTGCGTTGTCTAAGGCAATACGCAGAGAACTAGCAACCCCCTCAACAAAATCATCAACCTGTGAAGGGGAATAAGCTAAGCTTTTGCACTCTGCAGCACTGCTCAGTGACACAGAGCAGAGAGAAAGTGAAGCAGATTCTTTAAAATTTATAACTGCACTATCTGATAAAGATCTACTAAAATTGAACCTTCTTTTAGGGGAGGAGAACTCTGTTAAAGTAATCCTGAAGGTTATTAGAAAGTGGTCAGAGAGGACAGGGTTGTGAGGAAATACTGTTATTTCTTCACATTCTATGCCGTATGTCAGCACAAGATCCAAAGTATGAAGATGAGAATGCGTGGGACTATTCACATTTTGAACAAAGCCAATAGTGTCTAAGATAGCATTAAAGGCTGCTCTTAAGCTATCGCCTTCAATGTCAGCATGGATGTTAAAATCTCCCACTATGATGACCCTGTCAGTATTTAATACCAAATCAGAAAGGAACTCTGAAAACTCATCTAAAAATTCAGAGTAAGGACCTGGTGGACGATACAAAGTTACAAAAAGAAGAGGTTTTCTTGCCTTGAAATTTGGATCAGGGAAATTAAGGGTTAAATGTTCAAAAGAGTTGTAGGAATTAATTGTTTTGGGAGTAATCAGTAAGTCAGACTGGAAGATTGTTGCTACTCCTCCTCCTCGCCCAGAACTTCTGGGGATGTGAAAATTTAAATAGCTTGAAGGAGTTGCCTCATTTATGCTCACATAATCCTCTTGCTGCAGCCAGGTTTCTGTAAGGCAAAACAAGTCAATGTGATTATCACAAATCAAGTCATTAACTAGTAGACTTTTAGAGGAAAGCGATCTTATGTTAAACAGACCGCATTTAATTGTTTTAACTTTTTCCCCAATTGGAGTTATTTTGATTTTAATTAGATTATCATGATTTACTCCTTTGGGAATCTTTGCTAATTTATTAGATTTTGGTCGTGGGCAAGACACTGTCTGG